TTAGAGAAAACATTCAAAAATCACAAATCAGGTATAATACTCATATTCAGAATATTTAAAGAACTCTCTACACTCAACAGCAAGAAAACAAGTAATACAATTAAAAAATAAGCAAAGTGTTTCACAGATATGTATCAAAGACAATATTCAAGGAACAAATAAATGTAGTAAAAGATGTTCAATGACATTAGCCCTTAAGAAATGCAAATTAAGGTCACCATGAGACACCATACATACCTATTAATATGGTTAAAAACTTTTAAATATATGTCAAATGTTGGCGAGGTTGTAAAGAAACTGGATGTATCTTACATTGCTTGTGGAAACATAAATGATACAGCCAGTCAGTAAATTAGTCTGTTAGTTCATTGCAAAATTAAATGTATACTTACCATAAGACCAGCACTTGCACTTTAGGTTATTTGTCTTAGAGAAAGAAAACATATATATGTGTGTGTGTACATGAATATTCATAGATGTTTTATTTACAATACCCAGAACTCAAAATGATCCAAATACCATTCTATGAGATATGAGATATTTAAACAAACTGTGGCACATCCAGACAATGGAATACCATTCAGCAATAAAAAGGAAGAAACTATTGATGCATGCGGTGCTTTCATTCAATCTTAAGGACATTATGCTTATGGGAAGAAAACCTAGTCTCAAAAAATTATGTACTGTATGGTTTAGCTCATGTAGCATTCTTGAAATGGCAAAACTATAGAGATGGTGAACATTTTAGTGGTTGCCAGGGGTTAGAAAAGGGAACATAGCATGACTATACAGTGTCAGCATGAGGTAAGCATTTGGTCCTGATGGAATAATTCGGTATCTTCATTATAATGATGGTGATGCATACAAATCTGTTTATGTGATAATTGTCATATAACTAATTAGAAACCATACAAAAGTAAATGCATGCAAAAAATGAAACCAGAATATGTAATTGTACCATTCTAATTAATTTCCTGGATTTCATAGTGTTTTTTATTTATGTAAGATATCAGTGTTGAGAGGAGTTGGATGATAGGTACATAAGACCTGTCTATACTATTTTTGCAACTTTTTATGAGTCTGAGCCTATAATTATTTCAAAATAAAAAAGTTTACATAAAACGTTGTTGGTTATGAAGTTATGAAAAAAGGCTAGAAAAGTTAAATAAACAATTAAATTTCATAAGTACACAAATATTTATATTACTAATGTCTTCAGTTGTATGCAGAAGATATTGTTAATAAAATAGAAATTCATTTCAAAGGCAAAACAAAAACAAAGATAAAAATAAACAAAAAGGAAAATCCAGATATAATGGTTAGAGCTGCTTGCCTGGACTAGAAGGTGAAAGTTGTCTTAAAATAATAGGAGATTGACAAGAGAGAAATCATCCTGGGGCTACCCTAGGAGCCCTGGAGTGCTTAGGTTTACAAATGGTCTTATTTATATTCATCTTATATATGCCACTTTTATACTTTCATATCTCAGAAAGAATCGAATATATTTACTTCTATTATAACAAATATAAAACTATATTTGTTAATATATAAGAACAAACTAATCAAATATAATTGTATTTGACATAACATATAAATATGTATATGTGGTATATATATTAACATGCAATCAAATATAATTAGCACTTATCAAGGCTACATTGACTCAAATAACCAGAAGTAGAATCCAGTTTTCCCACTTTGCTTATTTGTTTACTGGGTTTCCAGCTAATGTGCTTTGCATCTACTCATGATGTCAGCAGCCTTTATCTCATCTGAACATGTGAAAATAACACTGTTGAAGTTCTTATGTTATTGAAGACCATACTGAATGTAATCACTATGTTTTCTTCTCTCTTTCTTTAACAAGAGAGTGCAAAATGAGATTACAATATCTAATTTCAAGAGCTCATGAAATGTAAACTATACTGTGAATACCCAATTCCTCTTGAGGCTAAGTAACTATCTGGCTCTAGACTAGGACAATGTTTTTGATAGCTAAGTGACTTATATTTGATATTGTACTTAGATCCCGGGGCATCTTCTTTCATACATTTAACTTTACAATTTAATATTTTATCACTTGATTGGTATGCTACTTTTATTTTATTGGAGTGTAATTTAGACAATTAATGTTATTCAAATGAATATAATGACAATAGGATGCTAGACAGGATGAATTTTGTTGGTGCCCACCTTTCAATACAAACTGGCTGACCTCACTGCGTGCTGGGGAGGATACTGCTGGTCCCTAGAAAGCCACCCAGCAGCATCCTCCCTCACTGATACTCTCAGGATTGTCTTCATTCATGGTCAGTGTCCATGTTTTTTTCTATCTGATCAATTTACACTGAGTATCATTCAAATTAGAATTAGATATGACTCTGTATTAGTCCATTTTCATGCTACTGATAAAGACATACCTGAGACTAGAAAATTTAGAAAAAACTTTTCCAGTCTCAGGTATTCTTTATCAGGTTTAATGGGACTCACAGTTCCATATTGTTGGGGAGGCCTCACAATCATGGTGGAAAGCAAGTGACATCTTATGTGGATGGCAGTAGGCAAAGAGAGAGCTTGTGCAGAGAAACTCCCATTTTTAACACCATCTGATCTTGTGAGACCTATTCACTGTCACAAGAATGGCATGGGAAAGAGAACCACCCCATGATTCAATCATCTTTCACAGGGTCCCTCCTACAACACGTGGGAAGTATGGGAACTACAAGATGAGATTTGGGTGGGGACACAGAGCCAAACAATATCAGACTCCCAAATTAAGGTTTACACAGTATTATCTTAAATAACTTTTAAATGTATGTCACATAGTTCAGAGTACAGGATATTATACTTCATTCCTCTTTTTAGCTTAATTCTCAATGTATTTTTTGACCTAATAGAGAATTTTCACTGGAAAGATGAAAAATCACAGATGTAAGCCATTCCAATTCATGGGTTAAGATGGTATCTTCACAGACATCAGTGATAATCAACAAGAAAGTTTGATCATCTCAATTAAATATGGGATTCTTTACCTGCCATAGCAGAATACAGTTTCCTCATAGTCATATCTCTTTCTATTTTAACCTATTTTATTTATGACCAAATACAAGAAGACGATACTAATTTCTAGAAAGATCAAAGAGAAACAATTTAATTTGTTCAGTTTACTAGTTAGCACCTTTAGTGATACCATGTCAGTATTTCTGTCGAATTAATGCCTAAATACTTCAATATTTACACCAGTAAATATTAGTATAACTAGCCAGTAAGAATTACTTGATAAATTATGACCCCTATCCAGTAGGTAGGTATGTTCTTGTTCTTTTCATGTTTATTTTCTGAGTACAGAAAATAATCCCAATAGTATCATTATTCATGCCCATTGAACGTTTTTTGAGTTAATAAATAAATATGTGCATGAAGAAAATAAATGGTGGAGACTGAAGCTTGCTCTCGGTCACCAAACTAGCTATAATCCCAGCATGTATTGTACAGAATACTAAACTATTATTGTGGCACCAGGCTTGGGCAGGATTGGATAAATACTTTCAAGGGAAAATTCAGTTTTAGGAGATGAAAAGAGTAGCCATAGAGAGAAAAATTATAAATCTACAAGTTGCTAGAAAAGAAAAGCTTGAGTTGGGCTGCATTTAAACATAAACTAAAGGAGAGAATCAAAACAAACATATGGATATTTGGAAAGTATATCTTTGTATTGAGTAAATAATTTAACATATAAAACTCTTCACTATTAAAACAAATTCTTCTTCATACCGTTTTGTCATTGTTAATATCTTAGTCTCTCCATTTTCCCAGTTTGATTGGTATGAAATTTCTAATCATCATGATATGGAAAGCAGGTGCTCTATACATACTGTCCTGTAATCTTCTCCCAGACCTGTTCAGGGCTCTCCCAATTCATGAATATTTTATTCAGGAGTATTGAGAGCTTGGCCATCATACTCTCTGCTAATTGTAAAAAGTACTTCCAACCAAACATTGTTTTCAAATTTAAGATTAGGACCCAATTAAATCCTGCCTTTTGCCACCGAATAATCCATACTTCATTTACATGTAAATTGTAAATTTTAATATTGTGTGATATGATGCTATTTCCAGAGAGTAAGACAACATATTTGGCTCTTTTCCAAAGGTATCTAAGGTTTTAGAAGAATTGCATTTGTCTGTCTTATACAAAAAGTTGTGGATGATTTCTCTTTTTCTTTTTGAAGGGAAAGAAGATTGCATACACAATTCTATGTCTTATGTATATAGAGCTATTTTGATTCTTTCTTAAAAATAATTAAAAGTGTTTAGCACAATTTTTATATGGTGCTTTAAAGGTGAGAGTCAGTTAGACAGTTGATGATCTGACTAATTGCACCATGTATTCCAGCAATATTCAACTAAAGCCAATTTATCCTGTGTTTTCCAAGTTTCAGACATGTAGGGCTAAGAAAGAACACTTTCAAAACATCCATAAACTCAGACATAGTACTGAACTTCGCATGAGAATAGGTTTAGAAATTCTCTGCTGATTTTACTCACACGACCATTAATTTTAAGAATAACTAAATAGTAACCAGGGTAAATCATACCAATGCGTTAAGAGTACTTTAGCTGGGACAGGATTCAAGTAGCTTTGATGTGTAAATGGTTCGTTGCAGAGGAAAAACAGCAGCTTTAGAGTTGCCAACTGTTGTTTCATAGTCTCTAGAATACAACATTTTCAGTTTCATTTTGAGAGAAAGTTGCACCTTATCTTTGAGGAAGAGGGGAATGGCATTCATAGATTTTTAAAATTTTTTCTAAAGTAAAGGCCAATATCCCAACCTGAAAGGGAATAATTAGAGACAATGAAAAGAAAATATTGGTGAATAATAATGAAAAGTTTATTTTCTTTCAGATGAATCTGAATTCTGAGATGACTTACTTTCAGAGAAAGAAAACAAAATCACATAAAGCAACTGAAGAAAGCTTTCGTTTCTTCCCTAGGAACCTCCTAAGGGTGAGGGTCTGGGCTTTGATTGGGGAGTCCGAAAGAATCCATCACTCCTATGTGGTGGGTGAAATGGCCTCTTGAAATGGCAGTAACCTGGGTGTTGGGAGCACCTTCATTCAGTAGAAGAATCTGAAGGTATGACTGGGAGTATAGACTTTTTTCTCAATTTAATTATTTATTTTAATTTTTTTAACCTTCTTATTGTCCCCAAGATTTTGGTGAATTTTTGTTAAAATTGACAACCAGGTCTGAGAATTTCTTTGGACAACTGAGAGAGGAGTTTGTGTTCTCATCACTATTGTGATTAAGTAGTGGAGAAGAACGGGAATACTTAAACTAACTTGACAGTAGAACAGAGGACAATCAGAGAAGACACTAAATGACCATTAGGCTGCATAAAACACAAATGCATTTGTTAGAGTTTTTCTAAAATTGGAAATGGCAAAGGATTGGCATCTTCCGAATGAACATGCTAGGCCTGTATGTGTTATAAGAATAATCCTTAAATCCTGGAGAAGTTGAAAATGAGTTATAGAGGAATATCTGGTTAAACAGACAAATGACAAATGGAGCTAAACAGTTTCTGGTAAAGGCCATTAAGTAAGGAAAGAGTTAGCATATAGTTAGCTACACTTTTTGAAAAATAAATAATCACGTTGAGTTTATAATACCTTTAAAACACCATATAAAAATTGTGCTAAATGTTTTAATTATTTTTAAAAAAGAATTAAAAAAATAAGTTTAATCACAAATGGTATTATTTTTTAGACGGAGCTACATGGAGCACAGTCAGTATGCATTCTATGATTAATTGGTTCAAAGATTCAGTTTGAAGATGATGAGACGAAAGAATACCCCACAGGGCTTAATGCTTTAAGCCACTAAGGCTGTGCTCATAGAAACAAAGCTAAGTGATTAATCAATCTAATAAATTAGATTAATGCAGCCAGTCAACCTGTATAACATTAGGGAAAAAAATTTTTTTTCCTCAACGGCAAGTATTTTTGCCTGTAATTGTTCTTAATCATTCACACAATTGAATTAGCTATTTTGCTCTGCTTGCATGAGTGACTTTTCTTGACTTATTTAGTCTGTTTTCTGTGAGTTAAGTATTTCATTTTTGAAAGTTTTCTACCATATGCCCTGTCTTTGTTGGTGATCATCCAAAAGTTGTCCTGGTGATGTGATTTTCCCATAAAATATGTATCATTTCAATTATCTGATGTTTTTTCCGTTTCTTCATTTTATTAGTATAAGTTCAGTGATAGCCAACCATATTGTGACCTTGATTTTCCTTTTTAAATCTTACTTTGTCTCCTCCATAAAATTTTCATTTACTTTGTCTGTACATTTATCTTAATTAGCCTTTAGTTCCTTCAATTAAGTATATCTATATCAATGTTTGCTGTGACCAGGACAAGTGGTGGATAACAGTGCTATTTTAAGTAAGTATGAGTCAGATAACTGCAGCCCCAGGAAAGCTCGTCTTTTTCTCCTCCTTGAAAGCCCAAGGACCAAGAGAAGGACAAGTGAAGTTATTAGAAGAAGAGTTATGCCTTTGTATTAGAGGCAGAGTTTACCACTGCCCTGCGAGTTCATTTGAGTAGCCATCAAGAAAGACATTTGTAATTGTGATGACGTCAAGCACTTATATATTATTAAATGCAAATCAAATATGTACACAAAAAATCTCTTTGAATTTTGCTGAAATACATTACTTATTTTGAGTAGATTAGAAGGTAGACATAACAATTCAATCATGTAGGAATTTAAGAAACAGAAAAACTGCTGCTCTATTTGAGACAATGTATTAGACTGGGGAAAAATAACCCAACATCTAGGAGTATTTGGTTTTCCTATTTCTTCTGTTTTCATAAGAATGGAAAGAGTAATATTAAGAAAGTGTAGAAATTATTATTATTATTATCATTTTTTACTATGGTCAAAAAGCTCATGTGAGATAAATTTCCCCAAAATAAAAAGAATATGTAATTTTAGAGGAAAAACTATTTCTGATGGTAAGACATAAATGTGTTCAGACATGAACATTTATAACATTTCTCTTAATCCATATGATTTTTTGCTGAGATCCTATTTAATTTTTCTCTGCAACCTATATGATTCGTTGATCCACCTCTATTTTATAAGATTCTTGAAGAAACGTTGTTTGCTTTATTACTGTAAATTGTGATTCTATTACTTTATAAATATTTTCCTTCTGACAAAATGAAACTGTAGTTCAATATAGCTAGTTAACTCCTGTTCTTTGTTAGCAGGTAAGTACAAGTAATAGAAGAAAACAAAAGAAAATCAATATATAGGTTTAGCAGAAACATTTTTTTTGAATAGCAAACTAAGGCTACAGATTTTTTTTTAGGAAACCTCATCATCAGATTTTAAAGTTGCAGGAAATATTTAAAAGGATTTCACCCAATCGCTTTATTTTGCCAGTGTAGAAACTGAAGCTCAGAGATCTTAAAAATATTTGCCTCAAGCTATTAGGTAAGGGTATTTCCCAGACTGAGGCTTAGCTGGAAAAGGATGAAGAAGGCAGAGATATAATTTATTGTATCTGAAACATGAACCTCTGGTCCTAGGGCATCTCGAGGTTCTACATGAAGAGTAGAATCAAGGGTCTTTCTTTCCCCTCAGTTACTTGTTACATCTCAGTGTTCAAGCCAAAGCCAAGTGTGTGTGATAAATAAGCCTAAATTCTCATATCTGACTTTTAACCTCTCTGCACTGTGCTTGAGGGCTAGGCAAATGATAGGCTTTTTTTTTTCATGTTTTCCCTGCCTTTCACATACCCCTTAGCTTCCTCTTTTCTTTGATCAACACAGCTAACCACTTCATCACTGGAAAACTCTGTGTTAATAGAATAAAAAGGATAGGAAGAAAACAAGGCCATTAAGAAAAAAAACAGGGCCATTGTTCCACTGCAAAATCCTATTTTGAATGCCCAAAGCAAAATATTACTTTACTTCTAACCCTAAATATTCTTGGGGAAACCTAATGAAGCCTCAGAAAGATGGATGCCTTAGGTTGAAGGTCAAAGAAAAATGTGGTAAAGAAAGCACATTAATAACTTTCAAAATAGAATTCTGATCACATTTATTTTGTACAAGAACAAATAATCCAGAAAGAAATCGCTAGGGAGATATCTAGATCTAAGGCAAAATTTCCCGTAGTTCCTAAATTGCAACAATAACACTATAGAATCTCTAAATGCCATCTATCAGAGGTTACAGTTTCCCCTCTGAGGATACATTTGAACAATTATATTGCAAGTGGAATTATGCGTATCAGACATAAGAAAAAAAAGATATCCAAATAGAATTGAAACAAAGATTAGGTATCTGGAGAGTCTGAAGGGTGACCTTCTACCTCGTAAGTTGCGCATACCCTTGTGCAGATAGCCGAAACTTACTAAATGAATCAGTCATCCAGGGGAGACTTGAATGATTGTTCCCAGTTCTATCATGCTAGCCTTTTTTAGGACACTTATGGTGGAGATCAATTGCAAGAGAAAGTTCACTTAAAATCTAAAAAAAAATTCAAAGGCTATCAACAATTCAAATAGTCCTTTATTTAGCCCTTCTTTGTCTTTTAGCACCTGCAAGTCATTAAAACCATTTTAAGGCTTTTTAGGTATGCTTTAATTGTTTTCTTATGCTGTGTACTTTTCACTGTAGAAAGTAAAATTTATTTACCTGATTTGTGGACTGACACAATCCAAATGAACTTTTGGAAGAATAAGGAAAAGCTTGATACGTGAGGATCGCTCAACCTGTAGGGGTTTAATCCTCTATTAGTGTTTAGATCTCCTTATCCCCTCAGGATGCCATCTCCCATAATTGTTTTTTGAATAGCTCTAGTGATTTTAACAATCTTGCCTGTTACTTTTGTTTTTCTTGTTTTTATAAGTGTTTCTAATCTTTCATGAAGAGATGCTTTCTGACATTTGCCTTGATTTTTTTCATTTAATTTTCATTTATGCCCTTGTTCCATTATTTCTAGGAGGTGGGAAATAAAAACTTTGGATATAATCAAGGCTATTACAGAGTATATGCAATTCAGTTGAAACCTCTTACCATTTTGTCCTGGGTCCAGGTTTTAGTGTGAAAATATAAAGGAAAGTTAATGTTTATCATGGTTTTATTTATTTATTTGCTGTTTGAAAGTTAACTTTTAATAGCCTAAAAATAGTGGCTATAATTCTAATGCCACCTGGGTGAGAAAACTCATATCCATGTATAAGTTTTCAATATGAAGTGATATTGGAAACTGATAACAAAAATAATTCTTTGACTCTGAATCTTCTCATGTTAGAAATTAAAATAAATTAGACAATTTCACTTTTTAAAATTAGGTAATTACATAGCATCAATCATTGGTTTAATAATGTTTAGTGACCCCGTGATGTGTCTGTTCAGCAGGATTTCAGCTGTAATTTGGTTAGCTTTGGATCAGGAACATTTTATGCTGTAATTTCATTTAAGTATATAAATTTAACAAAAGCAATGTTTTAGTCATTTTTACCTATGTAAACAAAAGATAATATAATACAGATGATCTGGAAACCTCAGGGAAATACATATTCATGAAGGCATCTTATAAAAAGTTCAAAGTATAGGACCAGCTCTTCTTAAATCTTGCTAAGAAGTTTTTCCTCAACTGCCAATAAAAGTGCATCCCTTTATAGATTTAAAAATCTAAGAGGTGTAAAAACTTTGAACCTGGATTTTTAAAATTCATTCAACAAATTTTTATTGAGTACCTACTATGGGCTGGTCTCTGTTTTGGTCATTAGACATGTAGCAAGAAAACAAAAAGCAGGAATCCATCTGGACATGAGAGATGAGAGCTCAGTTCTGGATACCTACATGAAGACCAGGCCATGTCACCTGGGACTGAAAGGTCAAGGAAACAAAAAGAGGAAGTTTCCTGCTCTAGTTCTGGATCTGGCCATAGAATGACTTTTTCTAAATCTATTGGATTTCTTTTTTAAAATTGTTAAAAAAATATGTAAATAAACAGAGATACGGAAAAATATACAAAACGAACACACAGCTGAATGCATTATCATTAGACCATTTGGATAAAGAAATAGATTTATATCCAGAACCCTCAAAGATTCTCCATGTGCTTCAGACCATCAGAATAACATCCCTCACCACAAAAGTAACCACTTTCATTTCTTTTATAGGAGTCACTTTTTTTGTATTTCTTTAGAGTTTTATTGCCTAACTATTCTAGTAACTAGAACAGAACACTGCAAATAGCACACGCTTACTAAGTTTAACAAGTTAAGTCATTGATGTTGCATTCTCAAGTGTGCATTGTTAGACACCATGTTTAGTCTTGCTCATGTTTAGTTTTATAATTTTTTTATGTTTTGATGAATTTGGGGTATGTCTCTTAAGTCACGATTTCTCTATAGTTCCTCCTTCCATCTCTTACTTTTCATTGCAATTTATTCATTGAAAAACTAGGCCCATTTAGCCTGTATTGTAATATTCTTCTATCCTCTGTACTTCCCACAATTTGGCAGCTGGAATCGAGGTTTGATTGGACTCAGGCTTCGTCCCTCTGGCAACACTACAAGTTGTGTCGTGTTCTTTTATTAGAAGGTAAATGCTGTTTGGTTGTCTTTTGTGTGATATAAGCAGCTGTGGATGCTATGACTGAATCCATTATTTTGATAGGAGTTGTAAAATGTGCTATTCTATTGTCACTTATTTTTCATTTACTGGCTGAAATAAATCTATAAATAGAGGCCCCTCCCCAGCTATACTTTGGAACTCAATAATATTGGTAAGGGAGGATAAATGTTTTATTCTTTCTTTATATTTTCTATTCCTCACAATAGTAAATTTGTCATCCATCACTTTCTGAAAGTAGCTAGCCGGTTCTTTTTTCTTTCTTGCAACTTTATGAACTCATAGATTTAAACACATTTGTTGGATTTCAATCCATTGCTATTCTTATCCTTATTGGAATTAAAACTGTCCTATATTTGGCCAGTGGAAGACTCACTCCTCTTTAGCTATTGGTGCTAGCTGGCAACTGGGTGATAAGAGTGATTGAATCATGTGTCTTTCTCCACCCACTAAGCTAACCCAGACTTCATCACAGTAGTTGCAGGGTTCTAAAAACCAGTAAGACATGGCAAACTTTATTGTGCAGGTATTTGTTAGGTTTCTGCTTGAATCACGTTTGCTTATATCAATGTTAGCCAGAGCAAGTCGCATAGCCAAGCACAGGCTGTGTGCGAGAAAAATACTTCACAGTGAGATATGGAGACAAGACTTACTGGGCCATTTTTCAATCTACCGTATGATCTAATTTTCTCTCAGTAATACCTCAGTCTTTTTGCCTAGATTCCTAGAGCATTTTGTTTTTAAATTTCAGCTTTTCTTTTAGATACAGAGGTTACATATGTAGGATTGTCTCATGAGTGTATTGAATCCAGGTAGTAAGCATAGTACCCAAGAGATAGTTTGTTAACTCATAACCTCCTTCTTTACTCCCCCATCTAATAGTCCACAGTGTCTATTGCTCCCATGTCTAAAGCATTTTTTGTCTTTTCCTTAAAATCTAATAATTTTACTAGATTATGTATCTGGCCAATATTGTCTGGTATGTACAAAATATGTATTTTCAAATCTTTTTTAGTGTTATTTTTTAACTTCATGAAAGTTTTCTTGAATTATAATTTTCTGCATTTTTTTCTTCTCTCTTGTTTTGATATTTTTTCCTGGTACTCCTATTTTCTGTATTTTAAGTCTTTTTTAAGTCTACCTTCAGTACATGTTGCTTTTTCTTGAATCATTTTAATCTATTTCATGATAATTTTTAAGATTTTGTTGCTTTTCACAGTTTATTTTTCCTCTTAAATGATTTGTTGGATTCATTTGCTCTTACATTCTTTCTAATTTCTTCTTCATTTCTGTATTTTCCCTCTATTTTAAATTCTTTGAATATATGTTACTTTACTTTCGAGTTTTCTAATTTGAGTTATATTGTTTTTATATTTGTGTCTTTTTCATGTCTTTAACTCATTCTGAAAATTAGATTATTTTTCACATTTGTATTGCATGTTCCTTATTTTCTTTGTTCTTAAATATCTTTGCATGAATTTGACTTTAAATTGCTCATTTTTGTTGCTCATTTGTTTTGTGAAAAAGTAATTTTCCTAAGCTTTTACAGAAAGATGTCATTCACAATAACTTGCTAAGATTCCTGCCTCTCAAATTTTTCTCTTCTCTATTTTTATCTGAACCTTCTCTTCCTTCCTTTCTATTATCCCTACTTTGCTTAACTTTAATGATATTTTCAGAGGCCTACTCTGGTGTGTAGGCCTGTATAGGAAGGAAGCCCAGGCTGGTCAGTTTCAAGAGCTCACAGAACCTAGGCTTTTTCAGGTTCCATGCTCTATAGGGAGCCCTTGGCATACGAGCTATTAGTCTTGTATAAACCCCTCCTAGTTTAACCTGCTGCTCTCTTCGGGCTTATGTGCTTTGCAAAGCAGGTTGTTGGCTATTAGGAGATTCTTCAGTTCTTAGATTCTTCACACACCTTTGCTTTCTTCTGCTCTGTCTCACACAGGTGATAACATGATGAATAGCTTGTGGTTGTCAGTGCTTTTTTTGTTCTTTTTTTCTCACTTGTATTTTGTAGTTCATGGAGTATATCTTGTCATTTAGTTAATTGCATATTTTGTATGTGGGTTTTTGAGTTTTGCTATGTGATTACTTGACTGTTTACCAAGGGTTTTGGGAGATTTCTAAACTATGCAGCGCAGCTGCTATGCTCTCCAGATACCCTTACATTCCTAATCTTTTGATTTTCCCTTCTTCATTCCCTCCCCTATTCTAAGCTCAAAGTCATTACAACTGCTATTTTCCTTCTCATAAGTTCATTTTTCAGCCCAGCATCATGAACTATCTTTTTGAGGCCATATTCTATTGTCTAATGTTTTTTAAATAAGGATGAGTATATTGATTACAGGTGATTAATTACAGATTATTTCCTCCCGCTAGCCTAGAACATTAAATACTAAACGTCCAATAAGAGTTACTTTGGATGATTATTGTTGCTGTGTATGTCCCTTTGGCAAGCTTTCCTAAGTGTTATAAAAGGAGATAAAACTTGGTCTGGATAGCAGCATCTCAGAAAATAGTTGACACTATATTTGTCAGATGGAGAAAATAGTAAGTAGGGTATTGCTTTCTCTAACCTAACTCTGAAGTATGCATCATGATTAAAGAACACGTAAGGAAGAAAAACAAATCCCCTCCCAAAGAAACATTCCACAACATGGTCTTAAAATCCCATTCTACTACAACAGGAAAACTAAACATGTAAAACATGACAGGGAAATAGAATAACAAGTTTAGGGTGTAGTGAACTTTGTTCTTTTTCCTTTCATAATGGTGAGTTTGCCACTTTACAAAAAAGATGTAAAGTTTTTGTCTGAATTTTCTTGGGATCAGTGGTAATTATATGTAATAAGAAGCCAGGATTAGGCACAATATCCATAATAGTAATGCAAAGAGAAGTGAATTCATACTAGGTGCCTGACTCTCATGATTGCCATGAACTCACCAACTGAACTTACTGAAATATAAGCAATTTCTAAGAGAATAATCAGCAAGTTTTCTTTAATGCAAGAATGAGATTACCAAAGTCATGTTTATTCATTTATAAGTGACACATTTCTATACTCACCAGGAGAAAGTGGTCCATGCTGAATTCTAATTAAGAATTGCAAGCCTCATGTTTATAGATATTTTCTAATTATAAAAATTGCTGGGAACCAGTCTTTAATCTAAAACCTGTGGGGCTGCATTGAATTACAATATAACTTTCTGCCCTTATTCCAAAATGACAAGTTTTTATACTATTTTTATAAGGTGATCTAAGTATCTGATCAAACAAAATATGATTTGATGAGCTGATATAAAAATAGTACGCAATACTCTTGTCCTGGAAATAGTCTTAAAATGCCTTTCGTCTGACCAGGTTGCTTTGATATACCTCCATTTCAAGTGTTCCAGATCCAAGCAGTTGACAGTAGTGAGAATCAAAGGCCCAAATAAAGAGAACTAAATCATGATGATTGTTTTTAAGGAGCGAAACCAAGGTGAGTTGTCACATACTTTTGGACTTCATTTGAAACATGCATCAATACACTTTTTTTTAAAAAAAAAACGTCAGTATTCATTTAGCTTAATACAATAATAGCACTTAGGATTGTTCTTGCTAACAGTAGTTTTGTGTGAGTGTGTGTGTGTGTGTGTATGTTTGTGTGTGTAACAGTATATTGATAAGACAAATGAGGAGTCACAGCGTTATAACAAATGACTATCCCTTTCCCTTATACTCTTTCCCTTGTACTGTTAGTTTTGCCTCCTCAGATAGGTGCATATATATATATCACAATGACATGCGGATCCACTAGCTTGAATCCATGGGAAACGGAATGAAAGTAAGAAAGATCAACTAGAATAGTGTTTATGACTTTTGCTTGGAATAGTTTTAGTACTTCTAGAACTCAGTTTTATTGTTTAAGAAGTTTATGATACATACACATATAAAGGTAGTTTAAAATAATCAGCAAGAGCATTGTTTTTACTGAATTCTTTTCCTAAAATTCCTACAATTAACACTATCACAGACTTAAATATTGCTATGAACTAATGTGTTTCAAATTTAAGACAATACTTCTAATTCATTTTCTGAACAGACCTCACTTAATAAGTGCTTGCAATGCATCCATTGATGCATATCCATCAATGGATGTCTGGTTGACACCTCAAATGAGCATGTTTGGAATCAAAATTGTCTTCCTGAAATCTGCTTTGCTCCTGTATCCTCTCTTTCATTACTATTTTCCCAGCACACTAATTTGTAGACTTGACTGCATTGTCTTTGCTGTTCCCACATCCATCTTTTACTAAACTACCTGAGCGGCATCTCCTACTTTCACTTTCTCATTTCCATGTATACTGCTGGGGTCTTAACGCATCCCCTTCATTTATTGTCAGTGCTCAAAGTGACCATGCAATAGATTTCTGTGTCCTGTATTGTCTTATGATTCATCATTCCACTTGTTAGGTTATTCTTATCTACATGTAGCATCATATCATTTTTAATCTTCTTCAATCTTCTTGAATGTTATTATGTAAGGAAACTAACTCCTTAGGGTAACTTTCAAGGTGTTTAGGCATTTGGCTTCCTTCTGATTTTGAAGGTGAATAATTTTCTGAAAGGTTGGACAGCTAGGGAGTGGAGAAAGGAAACAAATGATACCAGGCACGGAATTTGTTTTTTCCCTAGATTATAATATGGTCTTGTCAATATTGAGTTGAGTATGAGGTAAGAAAGCCCAGCTGCTTGTAATTTTTTTCTATTGAAAGTATAATTGAATGCATTTCTCCTGAAAACTGATGAGAATCCTAATTATCAAAGAACCAGAATACAGCATACAAGTAAGCTTCTTTAATACAAAAAGATCCTAGTTTTCTTCAACAGTCACTACTAGAAGCTAAGTGTCATTCCCCACCACGCCCCAGAGATGAGTGACGTTATAAAAGAGAAATAGAACTATTGGTAAGGTATTCTGTATTCTTTAATTAAGGTAATGAAAGTTATAATAATAATAAACTTAATCTAAATTAATTGTTTGACTCATTCTTGTCGCACTAATCCATAGGTTCTGAGAGGTTGCACCTGTGCTGCTTCAGCTCAGTATACATCCTCTGTACCATACCCTTCAGTCTGTGTCATTTGTCCACGATTGTTTATGTCATTGCGTCCACTTTCAATGTCCTTCTCTCCTCATTTCACTCAAATTTCAAGGTCCTTTAAAATCCTCCTTCTATGATAAAGGCTGCTTTCTGCAGTTTTGATTTTTGTCTTAATTCTTGCACTTAGTTTTTCCTTGTGCAGAAGTTAACTGATTATATGTCTGGGGCTAACCACATCATTTCTCTTACCTCACAGCAGCTGTCATAGGGTTGTCTTACTGCAGGAAGTTGATTATGTTTTCAATAATGGGACTTAATGGACCAGCATACACAGGAGCATATTTCATCGTAACAGCATACTTCGGGAGAGGTGTATCTTACAAAAAACTGTGTGCATTTCATTTCAGGGGATTTGTGTTTCTAAAAACAATTTGAAAGTGTACAAGTCAATGGATTTTAGTATATTAACAATTTTGTTCAACCACCACCACTAATTCCAGAAACTTTTCAACATTTGCTCAAAAAAATCCTAAACTTCCCACTTAATCCCTAACGGTATTTCTTTTTAATGACTAATTTATTTGTTGTGTCCATGGATATGTCTATTTTGGATATTTCACATAAATGGAATCATATAATGTGTGATCTTTTGTGTCTAGTTTTTTTTACTGCACATAATCTTTTCAAAGTTTATCCATATCATGGCATGTATCAGTATTTACTTTGTTTCTTTTTATGGATGAACAATATCTAACTGTACAGATTGTCCATATATTATTAATCCATTTAACAACATTTTGGTGCCATATTTAAAAAATGATTGCCTAATCTAAATTCATGAAGATCTACTTTATGTTTTTTCTCTAAGTGTCTTAAAGATTTAACTCTTATGTTTCAGTCCTTAATTCCCTTTGAGTTATTTTTTATGTGTGGTGTAAGATAGGGATCCAGATTCATTATTCTGCATGTGAATATACAATTTTCCCAGTACTATTTGTTATAGAGATTATTCTTTCCCCAATGAAAAGACATGTCCCTTTGTCTAAATCAACTGAACATAGACATGGGTTAATTTCTGATATCTCGATTTAATTAAATTCATCTATACATTTGTGCTCATGTTAATATTTCCCTTTACAACCACCATGGCCTTGTATTAATTTTGAAATCAAGAAACGTGAGTCCCCCAATTTTGTTCTACTATTTCAAGATAATTTTAGCTAATTTGGATCCTTTGCATTTCGACATGGATTTTAGAGGTTTGTCTTTTGTCTCTTTATTCATAAAAACAGATGATATTTTGATAGAAATTGCATTAAATCTATAGGTCAATCTGTCATCTTACTAATATTAAGTTTTATAATCGTGAACATGAAATGTTTTTTCATTTATTTAGGTTTTTCACTACTTTCCAAAATGTTATATATTTTTCAGTTACTGTAAGTCTTATACTTCTTTGACTAAATTACTAAATCTCTTGGGTTGTTTATTCCTCATATATGAAAATACAACTAATTTTTCTATATTGACCTTGTATTCTGCATTTTAATAATTTGTTCATTAACTATAAATTTATTTTTGTAAATTCTTTAAATTTTTTTTCTTCTATGATCATATAATTTATCAATTTTCAGTCTAGATACCTTTATTTATTTTTATCTAATTATCCTGGCTAGAGTTCCAGTACAATGTTGAATAAACGTGGTGATGCTGGACATTATTGTTATTTCTTATCTCAGGGGAACACTTAGTGTTTCACCATTAAGTTTGATGTTAGCTATGAAATGTTTACATATGACCTCATCACATTAAGAATGTTCCTTTGTATTCCTAGCTTGTTTAGTGTTTTTAACATTTTGTTAACAAAAAAATTGTGTGTCCATTGAGATGATTTTGTGCGTTTTTTTCCTTTAAATCATTGATAAAGTTTATAACATTGGTTGATTTTTGTATGTTGAACCACTGTTGCATTCCTGGGGTAAATCTTACTTAATCAGGGTGCATAACGATTTTAATATTCTGCTGAATTCAGTTTGCCAGTATTTTCTTAGAAGTGTTGCTCACCCTTCTATTTTGGAAGAGTTTGAGAAGAATGGGTGTTAATTCATCTTTAAATTTTTGGTAAATTATTCTACAAAGCCACCTAGACCTGTACTTTTCTTCCTGTAAAGCTTTTTGATCACAAAATCAGTGACTTTGTTATAGGTCTTTTGGGGTTTTCTACTTCTTTTTGAGTCAGTGTCAGTTGTATCTTTCAGATATTCATTTATTTTATCTAAGTTATCAAATTTGTCAGCATTTTATTTTTTATAGTATTCTTTATCCTTTAATTTCATTGTACTTGATGGTAATGTTTCCACTTTATTTCTGGTTCATAATTTTAGTCATTTCTTTTATCTTGAGAGGTTTAGCTAAAGGATTGCCTTCTAAAAATCTTTTCAAAAACCAACTTTTGGCTTTGTTGATTTTCTTTATTGTTTTTCTATTCTTCATCTTATTTTTCTCTGCTGTAGTCTTTATTATTTTCATCTTTCTTTTCGCTATGCATGCTCTTCTTTGCCTGGTTTCTAAAGGTGGCAAGTTAAGTTACTAATTTCAGATCTTCTTTTTAATATAATTGATTATTAGGAATTTCTCTCTGGGCACTGCTTTTGCTGCAGTTTATAAGTTTTGGTATGTTCTGTTTTTGTTTTTATTCATCTCAAAGTATGTTTTAATTTTCCTTGTGATATCTTCTTTAACTCATTGGTTTAGCAGTGTGTTGTCTAATTTGCACATAGTTGTAAATTTCCCAAATGTCCTTCTGATTGTGTATTGACTTCTAATATTATTTCATAGCTGTCAGATAAATAAATAATAAATAATATAAATGGGCAATTTTTTTCTAATTTATTGAAATATGTGGCCTAATACATGATATGATTTGGACAGGATTTCATGTACACTTGAAAAGATTGTAGATTCTGCTGCTATCATAGAGAATGTTTCTATAAATGTTTGTTAGGTTTAGTTTGTTTATAGCATTGTTTCAATCATCTGTTTTCTTTTCTGATATTCTGTCTAGTTGTTCTGTTATTAAAAGTTGAGTATTGAAGTCTCCAAATATCATTGTTGACTACATATTTCTCACTTCAACTCTGTCTTTTGCCTTTGTGTGCTTCATATACTTTGAGACTGTGCTTTCTGGTGAATGTATGTTTATTCTTGTTATATATTCTTGATAAATTGACCCTTTTTTCATTATATAGAGTTGTTTGTTTCTAGCAACATTTTGTGTTCTATTAATAAAGTCTATATTTTCTAATATCAGTATAAATACTTGATCTCTCTTTTGGCTACTGTTTACACAGAATATAATTTTCTATCCTTTGATTTGTTACCCACTTTTG